GAGCGACTCAGAGTGGAAATCTAGAGATACCGTACCTAGGGCGTAGTCACCCTCGTAATGCTGACAAAGTCCTAAAGCTAATTACTTATCTGCAAAAGAAAGTAGAGTGGGGTGAGTCTCACAGACTCAGTTATCATCGACCCCGTGAGTAGGGTGTAGACAGAAAACAACCTAAAAGTAAAAGAATTGAAGGTTTAAAAACATAAGAATATACATATACCAGCAATTTATTCAAAATTAGGAAGTTGTGCCTTATGTGCAATTAAATACATTCATGCTAATTAACCATTGAAAAACAAATTTAAAGTAATTGACTATCATCCTGCATAGCAGCTAATTAATGCTGTCACATAAGTAAAGAGAGCAGTAGCAAACTATATTTTTTCATTGTGTAAAACTACTTACTTGAAACCAAAAGAGTTCACTCTCGATGGTATGAAATAGCAACACGTGGACCCACTTCCACATCATATCATCTGGGAGCTATACTCCACCGAATCCTCACATGCCATGGCTATCTCAACGATGTTGGCCGACATCGGGAGAAAATCAAGTGGTCGCAACTGCATATAATCATTTGTGGCCTAATCACGTAAAATCACAACCTTTGGCTCCAGCCATGTCTAATAGCCCGTCGGCTACTCGAAAGTTCTCTAGCTAGAGTTCACTTGTGCACAAGGGTCACAATTAACTAAAGTACAACCGGCCTACTCTCGAATCTCTCGGTTCAGTAAAACCATTCAAAAAATCAAATCAAGTTTTCAAAGGATCGTTTCAAACCATTTGCAAAACACCGATCATGGTCACATTCAAAAACCTCTTTTGTATCCCCTTGTTATGTAAATCTTTTTGCATAGGGTTAATGTCTAATCCACATGATGAATAAGAAATTATTCATGAATGCACTTCACAAAATTCACAAGGCACATTTTTGACATCAAAACATTGAAAAGCTTGCTTCCCGATTTTTAAATCCTTTACATATATAAACCGTATATAAGCCCATTTTAAACATTTGGCATTCACAATTTCCTAAGATCACTATCAGCTCATGCTTTCCACAATTTGCATTGAAAATAAATCATTTCACATTCACAAATACATATATACCTAGGTACCAATTTATAGGATATTTTGAAATGGACACCCCCTACTCACCTTAAAATTTTGGGATGCTAATTTGCTACCAATTTAAGTATATAGTTCTTAATTTTTGTTGGATTTTTCTCACTTTAAGGCATCAGTTCTCACACCTAAATTTCATTTACTGTCACAATTAAACCACACCTTAAAAATCAATTTACAAACATACCTTCAACCAACTAACAAATTCCTACTTTCTTACCTTAGAACTCTTGAATCAACTCACCAATCCACTTCAATTTCTGCTATGGGGAAGGAAAAGGAAAGAACTTCATGTAGAGGAAGGATAAAAGGGAAGAAACAAGGGAAGAAATGGAGAGAAGAGCTTGAGGTTTGGCTGATTATGGTGAAGCCACGGTTTGGGAGGAAGAATTTCTTCACAAGGTGCAAGTGACGGTGGGTGAAAGAAAGAAAGAAGAAAATGCAAAATGACAAAGGAAAGAGAAAGTTCTAGTGTGGGACATGATAAGAAGAAAAAAAAATAGAAAAGGCTTCTCTTTTTTTGGCCTGGCAAAGAGTGAGCATGAAAAAAATTTAAAAAGTTTCAAGGTGAGTTGGTTAGTCAACATATGTAGGTTTCTTTATCTTTTTTCCTTTTAATTCTTTTCCAATCCTTTCTTTCCTTACGTGTACCAATTTTTCCAATAACCATCACACGGATGACCAGCCATGTGGAAGAAGAATGAGAGAAAGAAAAGTCAAAACTGTTTGTATGAGCTTTGACTAAGTTAAATAGTAAAATTACTATTTAGTCCTTTTAAGTTTTCATTCTTTTTATTGAGTCTTTTCATTCCTTTTAAAATTTTAATTTTTCTTCTACTTTCTTCCTTGACATGTATATGAACATAATATGAGGTTCGTACCTCATTCGCGTGTCACCGTAATATTCAAATATATACTTACCCGATAGTGCTTTATTTCTTCAAAACACACGGGTTCCCTCTAACCTCATTTTTTTCTTTCAAATTTCCTCTTTTCTTCTCCTCCCTCACTTAGATTACTCATATAACCTTCTATTTTAACTAATCTTATTGATAAATAAAATATTATTTTATTTAAAAATATTCTTTCTACCTATCACCGTTCTCTAATACTCAAACTTACATAAATAGCCTTTATTCTCATCAATAGAGTCTCATTAACCTTTAAATAAGGATAGAGGTGTTATAGAGATAATTTCAAATGTTTGATATTAAACTTAAAAATATTATGTAAATTTTATCAAATAAAAACATGATGTAATTCAAAACTACCAAGCTAAGACAATTGAAGCACAACTAAAACCACATACACTCAACATTCATCATCCCAACAAACCATACCAACCAAGCCAACACTGTGACCAAATCGAACGGTGCGAGTGAAGAAGAAGCCGAAGCCATGAGTGCAAGCCTTGGCATATCAACCTCCAAAGACCCGACTGGAGAAGTCACTTCAGCTTAAAAACCACGTAAATCAAGGCATGCATGACATCCAAAACTAATCCAAAAGAATCCACCCGTGAGAGAGCTGCAAAGAAAAACAGCAAAAAGCAACATAAAAAACCCACCCATGCATGAAAGAAACGAACAACATAAAAAAATGCTAACCCCAGCGCCACCGATCACGTGAAGTAACTAAAGACATCTATGTGGCCAAAAAATAATGCTTCACGTGACGGCAAGCTAACGCCGTTCCAGGATTTCTTTTTCACTGTGGTTATAGATGAGACAAGGTAAGACAAATTTCAAATTTTGGTTAATTTTCGATTAAGGATTGCATTGCTTTGCATTCCATTCCCCCTTTTTAGTTAATCCAGGCGGATCAGAATAAATTTTTACCAATTTACCTTCGGTGATCGTGGTGGAAGAATGAAGAATAGTAAAAATGCACCACATATGACGTGGCATCCAACAACAGAATCAGGTCCCACAAGTGACGTCACGCTTGTATAATGATATTATCATTCTCCATGGGTCTCTGCTAGTGCTAGAACAATCCCATCCGACCCAAATCAATAAAACCACCAAAAAAAGAAAAATTGTCTGAAGTCTGAATTCTAGCGTTGGAGTTGTTGAGTTCAACTTCCATGGCGCTGCCCAAGTCCCTCTTCTTCTCGTCTTGCTCTTCTCCCGTTGGTCTCCGACGATCCGGAATTTCCGATTCCGATTTTGCTCCTCACTTCTCTTCTATCGAGTCCTCCGTAATCCGCAACAACTTTTCTGGGTGTGGCATTATAACCAATTTCTCTGCCAAAAAGTAAGAACAAGGACAATCTATCTATTATCTATCTTTTTGCTTTGATTTTCTCAAATCGCAGTGACTGACTGAGTGGCTGCTTTGTTTCTCTTTTGACTGTTGTAAGATTGTAATTTAGAAGTATTTTGTTATTGGATAAAATATTAGATGGTAGTGCTAATACTAATTAATAGAAAATAGATGGTTGGTATTTTCTTGGAATCAAAATTTTCAGCACTTGCTTATGGTTATGCAGGAACGTCGTTTATGCTGCTAATGAGGGTCCCAACGCTGTTAGTTCAACCTCATTGGTAAGAATCTTCTTCCTCTGTGTAAATTTTACTCAACTCACACATGGATTCTGAAGGCATCGTTTTGTTCTAGTAAGATTAAGAATTGCTGTCATATCCGGTGCTTAATGTTACCCTCAGCTCAGGGTTAAAGCCATAAGATGTATCATGGCAAAAGTCGAATGATTTATGTCTTTGATGTTGTTCTTCCGACATGATGTAGGTATATTTTTTAAGTTCAAACCACATAATAGAAAAAGGAATAGATTGTGTAGGATTACTGCATACTCATCCATATTTGTGTTTCATTAGGAAACTGCAATAAGCGGTAAGCCACAACTAAAATAAGTATTCTTTTCAATATTAAGTGATGGATTTAATCAAAGTCCGAAGAGTATTTTTGTCTTCATACATGTGCACCACTTATTTGAGTCTCTTCTAGAGATATTGTAGGCCTAAGGATATGTATTTGGACCCATGAGATGGTGCCTACTTTTACAACTGAAAGGACCAAATTATTTTACCAATTGAAGAGCTTGATATGTTGTCCCTCTCTTGCTTTCTTAACGACTCTTGAAAGTTTTTTGGATGTTGGGTTTTCATTGAAATGCTTATTTTACCGTAGGTATGTTTGTAGCTGGTAGATGACAGCCTGATGCACAGTTGGGAGGGGAAAGAGTAATTTATTTCTTGCTTCCTAGAGAGGAAATCATATGACTGTTTTTCAAAATCTCAATAATCTATCCTAAAATCACAATCCAATCCACAAAAATATAAAGTTCATAAAATTAATATCTAAATTGATTAATTCCTTCACGAGTATATCTCGTCCTGCATCACAGCTGCATATATAATGATCTGTCATTAGTTTAATTGGATGATTTTATTGCAGAAGACTGACCAAGATGCTGATTATATTCCAATGCCAATAGTTTTGATTGATCAAGATTCAGATTCAGAGGCAACAATTGTGCAGTTGAGTTTTGGAGATCGTCTGGGTGCTCTCATTGACACAGTTAAGTGGCTATTACAACTTATTTTGATTTCTCCAATAGTTACATAAGATTGAACCAGTGAAAATTCTGTGTGTAAAGCCGGAGCACTAAATAACTTTGTAGAGGCAATGTGAGTGATTTTAATTATTATCTGTGTGTTATTCTGTAATTGAGTCATCAATGCGTACGTAAGAGACGTCCTAAGCTCAATTTGTGTAACGCACTGGCTGATTGTATTTTTAGGATGCTTTTAAAATGTTGAAATCCAAAAAATGATGCACCAATGAATGGTCTTTATTCCAATTTTAATTATTCTGGGAGGCTATGGATCTAGCTATTTCATTTAGGCAAAAAAGTAAAAGCATATGATAATTCTCTCCTTTCTCTTATACATTTTCATGACTCTCCTTTTGTTTATGTTTTGACAGATGAGGGCATTGAAAGAGTTGGGATTAGATGTGGCAAAGGGAACTGTTCTCACTGAAGGATCAGTCACACAAACAAAATTTTTCATCATGCGATTGTGAGTTATTTTTTAAATGCTGATATGACTCATCTTCTCCTGTTCCCTTTTTTGAGCATGTGTTTAGTAACAAGTTGCTGATAGTGTAAATATTTGTTTGCTTAGCCAGTCTCATTAACATCTCAAGGTTTTCTGCCTCATTGTCTTTAGATGTTTTTCTTTTGGCCGAACATTGTCTTTAGATGATTAAACTGCCACTTGTATGCCTGTGTTCTTAAAAATGTAGTTCTCCCCTATCACACATGCTTTAGTCTGCAGTTTTTTGCCCAAAAAGGGTTCATGGCTTATAACATGAGAAATCATTAACTAATATACTACTGTACAACAGTCATTAAATAATATACTACTTTACAACACTCATCTTTGCTGATTGGAATGTTGTTTGATTGACCTATAAATACATCTGAATGAAATGTATACTTAACTAGAAAAAAAGAGTTGATTTTACATATGGTACCTGAACTATAACGAAACATACACTTTTGTACCTGAACTGAAAAAATGTTCAATTGACTCCTTGAACTTTCAAAATGTGTAAGTTAGTCGGACCGTTAACATTGTTAACACAACCTGCCAATGTGGCATTTGAGTGATAGAACCCAACCATGCATTATGTCACATGTGAAATTTAAGATATCGAGTATTACTTGGAATTTCAACATGGAGGGCATGTGACAAGTTGCCATGGGAAACCTGCATTTAAAAAACATGATAATCTGTATTTTTTCATGTGGAAATAAATGAAACCAGAAATTTTATCAAATTAAGAACACAAAAATGATAACGCCTTCACAGCTGTGACCTCGTGCTTTTCCAGTACAGTCTCTCCTTTTCCCTTTCTGTTTCTATTATTGTGTTCTCTCTTCTTGGCTCCCACATCAAAGTTTCTCTTTGAAAACCCAAAACCTGTAGTAAAATCACAAAGGCCAAACAGTCACAGTTCCCAAAACCCATAATCAAATTCATACAAAATATAAATGTAATCAACCACAATTGAAAATAAAAATTAAAGGAGAGCATTAACCCATCAAATTTCAAGACTGTATGTATATGTTTGAGGGAAATTAAACAAAAAAGAAAGTGAGTTTGGGAGAATTTGGGGTGATAATCTCATGAGAACATTGAGGAGCAAGAAGGAAAGTAAAAAAGAGAAAGGAGTTGGAAATAGGGGAAGGGATGGTAGAAAGGGCCCCATTGTGGCACCACTGCCTTGTTTGAAGCCATGAGACACAGCTGAATAAAATGGAAGAAACAGAGAATTGAGAAAGGAAGAAGCTAAGCTAAGGAAATAGAAACAAAAGAGGGAGTTGATCGCTGCTTGAGTTTCTGGTCACAACATAGCACCAAGGGTAGTCTTCAGGCGTGGTAAAAAAAAAAAAAAGCAAGGGGAGAGGAGAGAAAGCAGTGTAGAGAAGTCATCAGAAAGAGAGACTGAATTGTGGGGTAAAAGGAAAGAAAGAGGAGAGAGGAAAGAAATGAAAAGGGGGAGGACAAGCTGGCAGCGGCAACCTTGCCGGCAACGTCACTAAAATGTCTTGAGGCAGATCGTGGCGAGGGTTTTTTTGTTTCTGGGTGAAGTGCTTGAAGAAAGAGAGAGAAGAATATGTCTTTTCCTTTTTTAAATTCAGGTGGTCTATAAGGGTTTGCCACCTGTTTTGCATGAGTCCACATGGAAGTTCTAAGTAATACTTTAGTGTTTTAAACTTCATGCATGGCATAACACATGGCATGATTCTATTGGTTAGTTACACCATAAGCTTTGGGTTAACAGTGTTAATGGTTGGACTAACTTGATACATGTTTTAAATGTTTTGAGGGGCCAATTGCACATATTTTTAGTTCGGATAAAGTGTACATTTTGATATAGAATGGGTACTGTATGGTCTGCCTTTTGATATTAAAGCAAGTGAAATATTTATAGATCATAATCCGAAATCAGCGGAAGCAGTTTGTTGAGAACTAGATATAGATGTTGATGCTATGCCAATATGGTGAGCAAGAAGGCAAATATTTTCGTTTATTAACAGAAATAAAGAAAACTGGAAAAAACATAGTTGCAGTTTCCTACCTTAGTGGCCATTTCTAGTTGTAAAGAGCATGTTCATAGTTTCTTTCAGGTACATAGTTGGCCAAGATTTCTATACCCCTATTGGCCGATATTGTGCAGACTAAGCTATGGTTCATCTGCTAATGAATTGCAAAAATGTTCTGGCATTGGCAATTAAATATGTATTTTGTAACATTCATGGGGAATTCGATATCCAAGGGGATTTAAGCTAAACAACTTGGGGCAAAATTATGAATAAGCATGTAATTAGCCTTGTTTACCATCATTATACTTTGTATTGAGTCATTAATAAGACATGTCTCATATGCATATCCCTAACTAACATGTACCCCTTTTAACAAGCATCCCACAACCTTAGGTTGAATTTCTTTTGTATTGCATGGATTCTATATAATTTTTCCTGCAACATTAGTGGTTTCTAAACACACCAATTAGCCAAGCCAAAACCTTTTTGTTTTTGATCAATTCCAAATGTTGAACACTTTAGTGAGAATTGCTGATATGCAGAAGATCTAAAATTGAATCCATTTACATCCTGGAAATTTGATATATCTTTACAAAGTCCGTAAGGTGTTGCTAAATTCTTCGTGTTGTCGTATTTCCTTCTGGCTTTTTTTTGACTTCTAAGTATTGTGTTTAATAGTTTGTCAGACTAGGTGGATAATATGTAAGTTGAATTTGAGTAGAATGTGTGCGAGAAAGAGTGTATATGCAATATATTCAGCACTAAACATCAATATCATTCTCACAGCGCATATGTTAGTCCTTTATTAATTTTGAATGCTTTATTGGGAGTGATCAGCATTCATAAATTGATTTGGTTATGCTAGAGACACTGGGCGCAAAGTAGAAGATCCTGATATGTTAGAGAGAATTCGACTCACCATTATAAATAATCTTTTGAAGTACCATCCGGTATGTATGCTGAATTCATACTTTTAGTCCTTCTCTCTCCTCTCTCTCTCTCTCTCTCTCTCTCTCTCTCTCTCTTTCATGAGTGGTTGGTCTTGTGACTTATCAAGTTAAAGTAGATATTCTCTACAATTATTTTATGCATTTGATTTTGGTTAAATATCCTTGTTTGAATTTGATTTCTTGCTAGGAATCTAGTGAGCAACTTGCTATGGGTGAGGCTTTTGGAGTAAAGGCTCCAGAGAAGAAGGTGACGTTATCTAATGATTTTTTAAAATTTGTTTTCACCCACTTAATGTGGCTCACTTTGTTATTTCTGGTCTTCTACATGATGGGCATAGTTTCTAAAATATATATTGACTTAATTTTTGGGAGAAAAACGTATCTGCCCTTGCTCAAGGAAGTGCCTTTTTGGTGCCTAGTGTATCAGTTCCTTATACTTGGCGCTTCAGTGAACTGTTTAACCTCTGACAGTATTGTTATAATTCATTAAATATTGGCAACTATTAGTCAGTTATGCATACAGTCAATGGTTCTGGATTTTGCAATGGCGGATGATGAGTTGTTTACTGAATTACTTATGAGTCAAATGGTTTTTCTTTATGAAGTAACAAAACACACTATGATGTTTTTGTATTCATGTTGTAAAATTGGTGCTTTTATTTTAGTTGGATTGTCGATGGTCAAAAAAAAAAAAAAAGGAAAACAACAACATAAAGAACATGCACTTGTGGAGTAACGAAATTTAGAAAAATGAATTCCCGCTTGCTAGAAATGTTTTTTGTTAGCTCAATTGATAAAGGTTGGAGTTGCAGACTTGAGGTCGGTTTTGGTTCAGGTTCAAAAGGCTTTGACTTAATAGTGTTATGGTTAAGGCTTCATTTAGATGTTTTGCTGCTTGCATTTTTCTTTCTCAAAAGTAGCCCAAAAAAGTAAATAATAAAGGTCATATTTGATTACAAATGAGCAAACTATTAAAAACCAACAGACATTTTAGCATAAATATTTTGTATAAAAGTAGATTCATGCATTTTACCCTCAAATTGATTGTTCACTTTCATTTCTGGGTTTTCTCAAGATAATGTCCACTTTCCTAAAATGGGCAGCATTTTTCTAGTGTTGCTCTTCATTGAAATACTAACTTTAGGTGGGTCCCTCTAGCTTTTATGACACCTGAAGGGTAAATCTTATAAAGTAAAACAAAATATCTCATTTCTAAAACTTTGTGTAATTTGAAATTTGAACATTCAGTTTGAGACAAAGGGAGCACTTAAAAGAATTACTTTTGAAGTTCAATTATTCAAAAACGTTATTTGTTTGTCTGAAAATGTGCTTTTTGCTTCTAAAATCAAAAAGCAAGTAGCAGAAGTTACAAACAATTGGAGGCTAAAACTATTGTAGGACGCATACGAAAATCTACGTTGTAATATAGACCATCCTAAAAAACTGAAGATAAAATGAACTAGGAAAAAGAGAATATGAATTTATTTGTTGCTATCTGAGTCATTAAAACCAGGATGCAGGTTCCTGGATATATGCCCTATTATTTGCTAATTGTTAACTATATTTTTTTTTGAAAGGCAATTGTTAACCATATTGGCATGTTTAATTTCTGAATGTGCCACTCTTGATCTTCCATGTATGTTTCTTCAGTTTTAGGCATGCTTTTACATGTTTGTTTTTGTGTGTAGAGATCTTTAAACTTCTGTCTGCATCAATAGTAGTGATGACAGCGTGCACACGGTCTCATCTGCACTTGGACATACAATATTTTATACATAAACATGAGTAACTGGTAGATCATGAATGTTGTGAAGTTTGCTGCTTAGGATCAATATTTTGAAATTTCCATTTAATTTGTATGAACTTGGAAAATCATTGTTGATGTGGTAGCTTTGGTATGGGTTTCCCTTCAGACATTAGGAAACAGAAGAAACTTTCAGTTTTATTTAACCTTCGTAGTGTTTTTTTGGGAGGGGTGGCTAGTGGTGTTTTCAAGGGGAATATTTTGAGTTAATTAAGACCTAAAATGGTGTTGTCATTCTTTTCATGTGTTTCTGATTAAATATTGATTGCCATAGCTAAATCATTTGAACAGATGTAGTTAGGTTCTTTTGTCATTGAGATGGAATGGCTGCCAACTACTCTTAATGCATTTCTAAGTTTGTTATTTCCTGTCTTCTGCTCTGGGGCCTTATGAAGTACTTTTTTTATGTTTTTCTGTCCCTGAACTTCTGGAATTGAATTACTGGGTGTCTGATTTGTAAATATAAAATCAAGTAAATAATAAAATAATATTATATTTGTATATAACTCGGGTGGGGTGGAGCAGGGCACCTTAAACCTGCTGCTGACCTGCCTTTTTTAACATAAAACCTGTTCTTACCCCTGATTTTCAAACAAAAAAACCTGCCCTATCTGAGCTGGGCAGTGCAGAACTCGTCGAGTATGGGTTTTTTTGCCATCCGTTTTCACTTTTATTTTTGGGTGCCTTTTGGGGTTAAGGCTAAGCAAAGTGCACCTCCATGTCATCAAGATGTCATCAGGCTCAAACAATGATGATGCCTTCTTAATTTTAGTTATTAAAGAGTTGTTGCATGTGCTATACAGGATTGGGATCTTAAGAACTTTAAATCTAAGTCTAGTTATTTGTTGATGCAGCTTGATATCGACATTGCTACTCGTATACATGTCAAGGAAGATGGACCCAAGAGGAGGTTTGCTCTCCAAATAAATTATAATGGAAATGGATTTCAGCACATAATTTCAGAACTCCCCACTGTTTCTAGCATACATTACTTACGTATTGAGGGATTTTAAACCGGATGAATCCCTTTTTTAGGTTGTGGTCTTGTAAAAGATGGGAGCGTATCTCTTACAATCATTACATTAGAATTAGCCAATCACAATCATGAATTGTGTAGGAATACACTAAAATATTTTATGGAGCCAACTCTTATAAGTGGATACACACACACACACGCATTGGATAATTGCGAGATTTTAGTAAAAAGAATTGCAGGTGAAATGCGCCCATAGAAGATAGGTTCCTTTTGTGATAATTTGCTTATGCAGTTGTTCAATGTTTCCAGCTTGCTTTGTATAGAGACAGCAGATCGACCTGGACTGCTTGTAGAGATTATCAAAATCATTACTGATGTCAACATTGATGTGGAGTCAGCAGAAATTGATACAGAGGTCTTTCTCGTTCCCTCTGTGTGTGTTTAAGTGACCACATGTGTGCATAGAGAAAAACTTTTGGTTTTGCAACTGTTTTCGCCACTTTTTGTTCTGTATTTTACAGGGATTGGTAGCGAAAGACAAGTTTCATGTCAGCTACAGAGGAGCAGCTTTAAATAGTTCCTTGTCTCAGGTATTTGCCAAGGGTGATGATAGATTTGCTGAACAGTAACATTTTTCTTCTAGGTTGCTTAAGTCTCCAGTGTCATTTATGTCTGAAACTAAATTGTGATATGGCAATGCATTTCAGGAAATCAAAGCCAATAATTTTATGTTTCTTGTCAAATTTATTATGTCTGCTGGATCTCTCTCCTTCTCTGACTCAAAAGTATCTTTTACCGTGTTACATGCAGGTGTTGGTGAACTGCCTGCGATATTACCTCAGAAGGCCAGAAACCGATATCGATAGTTACTAATACTTGAAGAAGCACCATGTACACCACATGTACAGGTTCTTGTACCAATTCATGCATTTGGGCTTGAGGATATTGAATTTTTTTTTTTCTAGATTTATGAATTCATGTTGCCCAATGCATCTTGGATGTCTTGAAAATTGAGACTCGTATTCGAGTTGTTCCCATGTGAAAGTGACGTGTTGATTACCAGCAAATAATATAATGAAAGCGAGATGTTAGACTTCTGATGCAGGTGCTTCTGGCAAGATTTCAATCCAACAGCCTGTCTTGTGATTGGATACTAAAATAACAAACTGTGGGTTGTTAGAAGACTGGCAAGGGAAAACGAACAGCTTCCAGCTAGGCTTGTTGTTTTATAATATTTTGGGTTAAAAAAAGTTAATTATTTAAAATAAATTTAAATACATTTTATTTTTTAATTACGTTCAATCAAATTTATGTATTTTTATTTTAAATTAAAATAATTTTTATAATTAATAATTAATTAATTATTTTTAATTAAATATTATTTATTATTATATATCACATGATGCTAATGTAAGTATGTTGATAAGATATATTGTTATGACATAATGATATGGTTACGTATTTTGAGTTTTTATGCTAATGTCATTAATGTTAAGTGGGTATTAAATAATAAGTGTTATTTTAATTAATGATAATTAATTATAAAGTTTATTTGACTTAAAAAAATGCATGAGTTTAATTTTTTTTTTTATATAATTGAGGTTTAGGTAGTGATAATATACCAACTAATGAGTTAAATGTTTGGGTGCAGACATGAGTTTAATTGAAAGTAATAAAACAATAAAAATTTATTCAAATTTTCTCAAGTGTTTTCAAACATTACGTTTGGTTGGATTTGAATTATTAATGTTATCAAATCATCTTATCTTTTATTCAAGCCACGTCTCTAATTATGCGATAGCCAAGGTAATGGATTGAATTCTGTTCCACCAAATAGGTATACCTCCAACCCCAATCATGAGTTTCATTCATACGGTTGTTCCTATATCCATGGTGATTTCGAAAATTATCAACAATATTGTAGCTCATACTCATAAGGACTTAGACTTGTCAACGTTTTGGATATGAATATCACAAATAGACTTGAGAATCTTGCAATATAGATACATGGAGAGTATTCAAATGGTATGCCACACTGTGCAAGGAGAAGCACATCAATGTGGCCCATCTCACCTCAATCCCAGAGAAGACAGAACATGGTCCTAAATAATAATTTAAAGCATTTGGTTCACGCTTATCTTTGCCACTTTTTTGTCTGTTTTGGAGCAGTTGGAATCTAGAGTTGAGTTGAAGAATTCTGTAGTGATTCATTGAATCTTCAGATATACGCCTAGTTCAATAATCAAAGCCATTAACACAGCTCACCTTTGCTTTCACTAATTTTCCACTATAGACACAAAAGCTGACCAGGATTGGTTGTTGTTGCCATTTTTAAGCTTACCCAACCCCTCTTTCCCTTTGACCCCAAGCAAAAGCGCATTGCTCAGAAATGCACTGGCTATATAAAATATTAGGTCTGCCCACGATCAGCCTGAAGCGAAGCTAATAGCTTTTTCTGATGCAGAAATCTTGCCTTGGTGGGGTTTAGAGTCATACCACCACTTTCCATTTCTCCCATTCTTAATTCCTCTGCAGAACAATGTCTCTAAAACCGGCGCTTCTGCTGGCCATCTTCCTCCACAACTATGCCATTATTGCGACCCTGGCTTCTGACCCTGATCCAGTTCAAGACTTCTGCATACCCCAGACAGGAATTGCAACATGCAGGAACTCATCAGCTGTCACAGTGGAAGATTTCGTGTTCTCAGGCATAAAGTTTCCAGGGAAATTCAGCGAAACGGGCTTAGCAGCTAAGCCAGTGAACGTTAATGTCTTTCCAGGCTTGAATACGCTAGGCATGTCATTTGTTCGAGCTGATTTTGAAGTCGGCGGCATCAACGTGCCGCATTTCCATCCAAGAGCAACTGAAATAGCATTTGTTCTGCAAGGAAGAGTTTATTCAGGATTCGTCGACACAGAAAACAGAATTTACGCTAAAGTGATTGAAAAGGGTGAAGTCATGGTGTTTCCAAGGGGGCTCCTGCACTTTCAAATGAATGTTGGAGATACGCCTGCTACACTGTTGGGAAGTTTTGACAGCCAAAATCCTGGTTTGCTGAGAATTCCAAATGCTGTATTTGGTACTGGGATCGAAGAAAAACTTCTGGAGAAGGCTTTTGGGTTGAGTGCTAAGGAGATTGCCAACTTGAGGAGGAAATTTGCTCCCCACGAGTTGAGCTAGACGGTTAAAATAGTTTAGCTATTAGATACTTCCATGAATAATGCTTTGCTGTTTCCATACACAGCAGACTGCGCCAACTACGAGAATTGTGATATTGTCCCCTGTAAGACATTTTCTGAGAGAAAATTTTAGACAGATTACCAAAGTTTTCTTCCTTTGATGTTGTTCATTGATTATTGACTGTGGGGAGCTTTTTGACAAGGCACATTATGGTCGAGTGTACTTGTACCTTCCAAGCCGATCCATATGTTTTTGTAGAAAACATTGTCATCGATGTTATGCATTGTAATAAGAAAGATCTTCTTTATTTACAACTTTATACATTTTATTTTATTTATTTATAAAAATAAATATCGTGAATGAATATGCATTGCAAAAAGAATTATAAAAAATTATAATTATGAAATCTTTATTGCATTAAAGCATCATTCCTAAATAATTCCTAATCAATGCTTGATCAAGACAGGACATTGATAAAAGTTGCGACACTATCACATGTTATAATTCTTACTTATAAAGTAAGTAGTCGGTTTCATATATTGTAGTAGTGAAATACTTGAAACTAACATGTGATTGCTTGTTAGAAGAATAAGTCAATGAATATGATCAATCATGAGAATTTCGTTAGGTTGTTCACTCAAATGTCTATGAAATACATTCTTATGTGTCCGTCGTGTAAATGATTCTTAGACCTGAGATCGTTAGGTTATCTTATGTAGGGATTGTTATACTTTTATATTATCTTAAGTAGTCCGAACCAAGAATGTACAATGGCATGGATATTAGAAACATGATGCACATGAAGATAGCTGGATGATTAATAAAGTTACATTACCCTAAATGATTTTAAAGGAGAAATCATATTGCTTCGTAGTATGTCTTAGCTTAAGGAAATTCTTGATTAAGGTAGAATGAAGGTCCAAGAAAATGAATTTTTCGAATTTTGTTTTGGAGTTAAGAACAAATTTCAAGAGCTAAAATAATAAAGACAAATATAGAGTAAGCATCAAATCATTTTCTATGTCTTATCGAGATATCGAATGATGAAAAACTGGATCACATTGAAAGGTTGAGCATTAAAGCATTAAGTTAAACCTCTTTGACTCTTCTTAAAATTTGGGAAGAAAGGGAGTAGAGCTGTAAAAGAAGAGGTCTTGGGAAGGAAATCTGAAGTAGAAAGCAGTAGAAAAAAAAAGAGAGCACTCACAGAGATAAACAACCCTATTGGACACAATGATTGTGAAACAAGTGGAATGGCACCATTGAACAATGAGTAGTTGATCACTTATGGGAATATCATAAAGCGAAATTATATTATCTTGAGAGAGGCTGAAAACACATTAGAAATATGCTCATTACTGGGGCATATCCTTGAAGATGACCAAGAAGGAATTGTCTAACACTTTTCCAAATCCCTAATCGACTCTAATACGGAGATAAGATATTCATAATACATTAACATGATCACATATAAATATAAAATTATGATATTTTGAAATCAATTGAAACACTATCTCATAAGATAGATAGAAATATCAAATATGTGAAACCATTTATAGAGTAAATACTTATTTACAAATTCAAAAAGTATGTGCCATACATTGGCCAAATACAAAATATAAGCAACATTTATAAAATCAAATAAAATTTGACTTTGACAATCAGAGTGAACTTAGAAAGATAATCGACCGTGATGCCATAGACCTACAAATATCATGTATGGTGACCACCCCACCGAACAATGACCCAACAAACTATGGATCTATCAAATAATAACGCTTTTATGTGAGAGTAATAAAAACATAGTGAGTAAACACAGGGAGGGGGAAAAAGCTAAGAAGAGGAATGTTTGCATAAAACATAATTTCATAAAAGCATGCAACTAATGTATAAATCATATAGATAAAGACGCTTCTACTTTAATGCAGATAGTTTCAAATACATACAAGACCTCTTAGAAGCTTAATCTAAAGTTGTATAGCCAAAAGTATCCATAAGTCCTTCAAAAGGGTCAAAATTCTAAGATTTATGTTGTAAGTATTGATACCTTGCTCAAAGGTATTGATACTTTTCAAATAGAATGTTTATTGACTTACAAGTATTGATACCTTTTTTGAAGGTATCAATACTTACAACACAAAAATGCACTTCCGAGACATTTTGTTTGCTTGGTATCGATACCTAGTTCATAGGTATGGATAAATCATTCTCATTTTCTAGATTTCTAAACCAAATTTCCAAAATTTGGCTTAAGTTAGTCTAATTAGGTAATTTTGAGTGAGAAAATACCATTTTGTCCTTCTTATTTTTGAAAAATGACATCAAGTATTGATAATTTTGGAAGAGAATCGATACATTGTTTCTAGGTTTCAGGTATCGATACATATTCATCAAGTATCGATACTTGTTCATCAAAATCTTTTTCAAAGGATTTTTGAGTAGCAAGTATCAATACTTGCTCTTTAAGTATTGATATCGTTGCTTCAAAATGTAAAAATTAATAAAGCAAACAAATCCTTTTTGACAATTTTCTCCTTTAACTCTTTATCAAATTATCTTAGAATTTAAAAATGCAATATTTTACAAAGTAAAAACTCAAGTTACCTAGGGATTTACTATTCTATACTTTAAGGAAAGATTGGGGTTTCACATATTATCACTCTTGTGTCAATGGACATTCTAATGTGACAATTGTGAGAATGACTTGAGATTAACAATGGACCTTGTTTGTAGATTTTTATGTTTTGGTTATACATTTAGTGGTCATGTCCAAGGATGATCATAAAAGATATACATTGGGAATAACACGAAGCATATGAAGGGATGTGAATGATTAATAGAGGAATATGTATCACACTAGTGATAATGAAACGGATGTACTATATGTATATTGACAAGTAAGAACTCATAAAATGTTTGCCCAAAGCATAATAAGGATTCAGCAAGGAGTTTCTTTAATCACATTAAAGAGTTATTCACTAGTTTCAAGAGCTAAGATGGTTTAGACTAAATAGTGTAGACATTACATCATGCATTAAGTCCTGTTGGATAATAATTAATGAAAGTCTAATAATTACATTGGTAGACTATGTACAAAAAGGTTGAGTCAAACCATTATTGCTTTTCTTAAGAATTAAGTAGTTATGATACATTGCTAGATGTCAATCTTGACTTCTACATATTAGCTAATCAAATAGAGAATTGTTAATAAATAAAAAAGTGTTTGATTAATCTAATCCTTGTTTATATCAAATTATAGTATAACTTTAAAAAAATCAAATTATAGTATATATTTATTGCCAACATACTAAGGAACCTAATGAGTCACAAACATTAAGGACCTTTTTTGAGAATGCAAAAAGGGATTAAGAAAGTTGGACCTAATTGAATAAAGTTATGAACTTCAAGGACTTAATTGAAAGGTTCAATTAAATTAAGAGACAATTTTGCAAAGAGGTACATAAAGTTGTACATATCATCTCACTAGGATTAGGATTTGTGATTACTTATAAATATAGGCCTTATGTTGCATATGAGAAATACAAAATACATTAAAAACCTACTGAAAACCCACACACAACCAAAACACTTAAGAGGAAAAGAAAAGTAACACTCAACAAAAACAAAGAGGCATCTTCTTTAACCTTGAGGATCCCTAATTAGTATTCCCTTAACAAATTGGTTGCTATTTCTTCTTACCCTGAGTAGGGACTCTTGCTAATTCCTCTTACTAATCAAGGATGAGGTAACTATTGACCAAAACCTTAAGTCTCAATAAAGAATAGGAAACCCTTCACGTCGTACTTAGCTCAAAAAAAGAGTTCTTTTGCCATCAATTGACATTCATGTAGATTTTGGTTGTTCTTGGAGTTTATTTGGTGAAAAGAATGACATGGTTGTCTTTTCCCTAGCTAGCACTTGGCTTTACAAGTATAAGTAATCCAAACCTCTATTAGAGCTATTCTTGAAAAATATTCATGTTGATTATTGTTAGAGATTAAACATTTGGATAGCTAGTGGTTTGTTATAGCCTAGCTTGATGCATAAGACATTATTGAGGCAAAAATCCTTGTGATTGAGACTTTAAGGATTAGAAGTATAATGTTCTTTATCCTTTAGTTTGTTAGCTTTAAAATTATTATAGTTTTGATTATGACAAGATCAAATTTGCTGAAACATTATTTGAGTAATCCTTGACAATTGCTTGAAATGATTTAACTCCCATACATTTGTTCTTACATAGTTATAAGCTTGACTTTTGAAGTTATTGAACTATATTTATAAGCTTGTATGACTTAGGTGTATGAGTGCTTATGATTCCCATTCATTAAAGTTTGATCTAAAGATTAAAGAAAAATTCAGATGCACTCACTAAAGGGGAGTTTTGAATATCAATTTTAATGATAAAAAAAAAGAGAAGGAAGACTAAGTTAAATAAAGTTTGATTGATCTTCATGTTTAATTTTTATGTGTGATGCTTTGTTTTGGTTTTATTGAATATTATGTAAAGAAAACTAGATGCATTGACTAAGGGGGAGCAACTTATTATGCATAAAGATTTGATGCATTCATATTGAACATAGACATTGTATTATTAATCTAGGAGTGTTTTGTCATCATCAAAAGTAAGAAATAGAGAATGTTGACTCTATATGTTTTTGATGATAACAAAATATTCCCATTCATTGGTGTCTAATTATATTGTTTAAGTGTGCATGATAAAAATGTATGCCATTAATTAGTTAATCATTCAAAAGATAATATCAAAACTCATGAGAATAAGGAGCTATAAGTGAGCAATGAAATGAAAAGTCTCTAAGTTGAATAATCAAGGGAGTTGGTTGGATAAAACTCAAACGAGAAGCTGACGGGTTCAAGAAAATCGTGAAACAGAGAGCACTTAGTCGACCAAGAGATAGAGTTAGTCGACTAAGAGCTTATAGTCAGAAACCGGGTTCAGAAATAGAAACAACTCAATCGACCAAGAAAGCTTGTCAGTCAACCAAAAAGGTACTATCAGAAATGCTCAAAGACAAAGCCTATTACCAGAAACTGAGTTCAGAGACAGAAACGACTTA